TACATTTAGAGGTAGCTAGGGGAGAAGATGCATTTAGCATTGACTGAAAAAAATTAATGCTTTGGATTCCAGTGTGTTGTTTAGATGTTTTTGGAATGTGGAGGTGAATGAGCACATCATATTTCTCATCAAGTTGGAAACATGTCCTACAAGGGACTGAGAGGTGTGTGTGTTCCTGGGACCTAAGGTTAGTGAGAGACTGACCTGCCCCAAAGGTGTCCTTTAGGGAGATGGAAGATAGTACCTATGTTGTAGGTCAAAAGCAGGCCTTATTCTTAGGCTGCTTTCTCTGTACCTTGATTCTTTGGGAGTAAGTAGATAAAGCTACAGTAAAATGGTTTGAAAAGGATCTTTGAAGCTCTTCTCCAGAAGCTGGAGTTTAAAAGGGGGAAGAAAGAATATATACTAAAGCTGGGATAGCTAGAAGGGACCACAAGCACAAGGCAATGGGACACAGTGATAAAAGAACAAGACAGAGAAGAGGCAGTGGTAGAGCTGTGAGGAACACTGGAAATGTAATTAAAAGCAGAAGGCAGCTTTAAGTACAGATGCTTCTGGAAGGTTTGCCTGTTGTTCCTGCATTTTTCACTCAGCAGTCAAAAGTTTGGATGTGCCCTTTTTTTCGTATTTGCATGCTTCTGATTCAAAACCAAATGTGAACTTTTCCATCAGCATTCCTGTAAGGATAGTCAGGGAGCTGTGGATGTTGGGCCTAGAGAAGTCATAACTGAACTATTTTGATCTTTGTACCTAATATTGAAACAAATTTATTTTTTTCCCTTTCTATTTATGTTTTTCAATCAAAAGTGTTTTCCTCTGGTAGACTTTTAACTGAGGCAGTATGAAGGAGGAGGGACTAAATACTTGAGTGATGTTTTCTGTGTACAAAAACTTTTTTCTGTTGTTTTAGATTTTAAAAACTTACTTGTTGATGTATAGCTGCCAGAGAAGTCTTTGCTATACCTTGTTGCTGAAAATGTGAAGGTTGAAACTGCTAAAAGTAGAAATGTTTGTTCTTGGTGGGTTTATAATTTGACAGCCAAGTGAGGTTGTGTTGGTTAACTTCACAGTTCAAAATACCTATGCCAGGAGGCTGTGAGCCAATTTTAGTTTTCATCCTGCTGTAGTGAGTTGGCAGTAATCTGAAATGATTAGTGGTTGTATTATATACTCTGTGCAATACAGTAACTTTTTTTTTTTTGTTAATGTGGGAAGAATATGGCCTTTCTTGTCTCTAGCACTGATCTGGTATAATAGCAGTGTAATTAAATAAGGCATTTCAGATGGTATGTGAAGATCAGAAACTGAAGTATTTTAGCAGTTGCACTGAGGATAAAAATACAGCTCTGAACCAGTCCATGTTTGTACTATAGTTAAACTTACAGGACTTTGATGTCCATATGCAGTATGAAGATACAGTAAAAAGAAGAGCTTCTTTATACTCTTTGTACAAAGTGGTCTGTAGAATAGGCAGGGATAGCCAGGTAATGGTATTGCTAGATCATTAAGGATGCTGCCTGCAGTACAGAAAAATACACCCCAATGTCCCCATTGTCAGGAGGAAATAAAACAGCATATCCAAATATGGTAATTAACAAAGTTCCAGGAGTTAATTTTTGTGCACAGCATCCTTACACTTGCCTGTTAACAGCAGTTTCTTAACATAAGCTATTTGCACATTCTCTTTTCAGGCCACTCAGAAACCGTCCTCTAAAACCAGTGTGCAGTGTTTGAAATCCAAAATAGTTACAATTAGTTAGAATGGCTTGTTCTGCTGTGTTTCTTTATAGAAGGAATGTTTTTTTCCACACATTGACATTTTTACACATCCCTAGTGTACTGAAAAGGAAATTTAGAGAGACACACTGTGTCTAGATCTCAAATACCCTGTGGTTAGGGGAGACTTTGTGTTGGGCTAAAGTGTTAAAGGTTTTGAACATGCAGGAGAACATTCAATTAGAAGCTACCTGTGGTTTGCCAGGTATAGAAGTACAGCTGTGTTACACCGATAGGCTAAACATCAAATGGCAGATTTCTCTCATTAATTCTTGTTGATGACAACATTGCTCACTGGGATACTCTTGTGTGAGATTATGTACTTAAAAAGTATGGAAAGGTTAGAATCAAATAGTCAGTAGAGGAAATGCAAGAGTAAGATTGCTTTTGTGACCCGAGTTTTCTTCCTTTATTCATATGCATTCTAATACGGTCTTTATTTATATGATTGGTTTCTTCTCTCAAGATGCCATTGCCTTCATTTCACAGGGTTTCTAGGGCTGAATCTGTAGGACCATACCCTTGGCTGTTGGAGAGGCTGGAAGCGTTATGTCAAGTGGGATGAGTGATTGCAGAGACAAGAAGGATAAGTCTCATAGTTACAGCAATTGACTTCTGATAGGTTCTTTTCCTGAACTTAGTTTGACCACTTTAAGTGTATGTTCCACAGGCTGTCAGTAATTCAAGGTGTTTGCAGGCAACCAGCTTAAGTCTTTTTAGTAAATTTTTAATGTATTCATCTAGGGTTTTAAAAAACTAAAAACCGGACACAGAAATTGTATGTTGTAAGCCATGCCCAAACCCTTCATGGTTCATTAGCATGTATGAACAGGTTACATAGATTGCATAATCCTTTGTCATTTTAGCCAGGAGAGGAGCTGAAAGCAGTACTGTGGTGTCGTAGCAGGGAAGTGCTCTTGGTTTGTTTGCTCAGGACTGAAGAATGAAGAGACTTGAAAACATGTACTTCAGTTTTAACACTGGGCTCAGGCAGTTGCAGATCCCTTTGAGATTTATATGCTCGTTACCTCTTGTTTTTCAAAGTCACCTTTCTTGCCCTAGCCTACCTCAACTTGACTTCACATGCTAGCCTAAACCTCCAAACCGTGGTTAGATCCCAGTCATTCCTCTCTTCTGGTCTTTCTTCATGGACTCTTTATGTGAGCTATTATCTTTTCCCCTGCCACATCTTCTTTTTCAGTTTTCTCCCCCAGCTCTTTGTCCCAGGCCTTTTGGCGTGTGAATCCTTCTTTGCTTTCTCATCCAGTGCTGTGCTATTTCATCATTTTGTACTAGCTGCTTTCTCTTGATAGACACTTAGTTGCTGGTACCCTCTTTTAGGGTCCTCTCTTACCCTGATGCCTCTTGGGCTTCCCTCTCCCCAAGTATATAAATTCACTAGTAGGGTCCAAGAGAATAGAGACAGAATATACTGAGTCTGTCTCTCCATACTTAGTTCCTGTACTTTCTACTGTCCTGTTTGCCTCTTCCTGCTGGAGTGTGCCTGACTGGCTTGAGAGGCTGGCTCAGTCTCAAACCTGTCTGTGAGTAAGATCTCGAAGGGGGTGGTAGCATGTATGGCACAGATGGTATCTTCAGAAACGTAGGTGCCAGAGCCTAACAAGATTCTGTAAGCACGTGCTAGCTGTTTTTTTCCCCATTTTGATGTTTTTGTCTTGACGTGGGGGGAAAAAACCCACCACCAAACAAAAAACCAGCAAAGCCCAATCTTCCTACTTGAGTCTTCTTTCAAAAACATCAGACAAAGCATAAAATAAGTCAATTTACTTCACTGAAACACCAAACTTCTCCAAAAATTCAGCTTAGGGGCAAGCATGTAGCATTGCATCCTGTAAGCTAAAATATATGAAATTTGGCAATCTTAAAAGAATTTACAGTCAGAAATGTATAAGAAAAGAGGTTTGAATAAAAACAATACTACCAGTTAAATTTTTAATTTAGAAAAAAGTATATTTCTGACAAGTGTTTTGCTGATTAAAGTGAAATACATATACATATATATATAATATAATATCAGTAATTACTTTGTTCTGAATTGGTTATGTTTTTTTCCTGCAGAATCCTGTCTATGAAGTGTTTTTGCACCCTTAGTTACAAAAAGTGTTTGCAAGTATTTCTTTGTCTTGACTTCTTCAGTCCCTCTATATCTCAACAGATGTATTTATAAGAGTAACCATAAATATCTGCTGGTTTTTATTACTTGTCTCCTTCACCTTGAGTCTCTGTGTATTGTCCTGTTTTTCACACTGGTGCAAAATTAGTGCGTAGCTGTTGCTCTGAATTTGTAATATGTTGTGCTTATTTTGCATGACATTCGCGCCCTTTTTGTCAGCCCTCTAATGTTGCCATGGGCTTTGTTTTCCGGTTCTGTAGGAAATGCATTGATATTGAGATGGTGATCTGAATTTCTTTATATTGTTTCTGATCAAAAGAGTTTACAGGTGAAATACTGGTTTTTTTAAAATGAGATTTTCTAGTTGATGATAATTTACTGTATCAGTGCCTTCCTATCCATATGGCTGCGTATTGCATTCTAAGTATTTTTATGTACTTGAACTTTTATGTGTTTATAGGCTTAGTAGGGACAAGAAACACCAGTGAGAATAATAGCCCCTGAATATCCAGTCTGCAGGGTACTAGGTTACACATCTTACCTTATTTGTTACAGTTTTTGAAGGTGAGCCAGTGTGCCATGGTTAAGATTTTCTGTGCAAGTGATGAGCCACTGGAAGACTGGGGTATTACTGATTTACAGAGGCGGAGTGACTTGAGATATTCAGCAGGAAAAGGAGCAGGAGTGGTAACAAGCAGCAGTAGTGGTAGTAAAGGCAGAAGCAGGTTCCTCAGCAGACTTCCCAGTGTGAGTCAGTGACTGCACAGCATACCAGCTATAGCTGTGAGGAGGAACCCAAACCCGAGTATTGCAAGAGATTCAGGGTTTATGTTTACCATGCGAAGTCATGTGGTCTTACTATATCTCAACTTGCCAACTTAGCCTTAGTCCAGAGAAGATCCTTTGCTGCAGTGCTTAAAAAAAAAAAAAAAAAAGAGGAAAAAAAGAGAGAGAGAAAAAAAAAACAGAAGGAAAAATAAAGAAAACTGTGCAATGTGTGTTTATGCCTACATCATGCCGAGGAGACACTTAACAGTAAATAACCTGTGTATACCTGAGGTAAGATACTGTTTCTGCTTTCCCTGCACAGTGCTGCTGCAGCACGGAGCTGATCCAAACATTCGGAACACCGATGGGAAATCTGCGCTGGATCTGGCAGACCCTTCAGCAAAAGCTGTACTCACGGGTAAGATGCATACATCTCTCAGCAGCGTTACCCGTAGTTCATTTTCTGTGTATAAGTTCAGCTTCCTAAGAGCCTTCTGCCTTTTCAGGTTTTCTGTTGTGTAAGAGCATTTAAAAACTGTCTTTTACCAGGTTTCGTGTTGATGTAACTGTCATTAATCTGCTGTGCTGCTATAGGTCTGCTTATTCTACTTATGCTAATGCTGTAATTTTCTATTATAACATCATTCATTATTTACTGTGTTTCTCTGGGGTTTTTTTCTTTTTAATTGATACCCAATAAACAGATTGAATAGGAGCCCCTAACCCTTTAAAAAACCCAAAAATCAGGTCAGTTGTTTTAAGACCTTCACTGTTGAGCAAGCAAGGACGTTTGTGTAACTATAAAAGTACCTGTGATCTGAAAGACAACCTGCTACTGATTGCAGAGATCAATAGTTACATTATATTTTGCTGCAGATTGACATGCTACCCTTTCCTTCCTCTTCTTCATTAGTCATTTTGGGTAGAACCCTTTCTCATCCATCAATTTTTTTCCTTTTTAGAGACTATTAGCTGCAAAACAATGTTTCATGAAAATATCCTAGAGATATAACTTTGTTTTTACAGAGCTTTGATTTTTTTATAAATTAACTGTTGTAGTATACCAGTAAGCATGAAAAGTATAATATAGTAGCCTGTCAAATTTATTTCGAGAAATACATGGTCCTCTGTGCTGATTTTGACATCTAGGAAATAATGTTTAGAACAAAGTGATATTGGATTTTAAAATATATACAATTAGATTTATAGAGAGGGATTCAGCAACTGAGGTTCATTTGAAGAAATAGTTGTTTTTCTTTTGCCTTTATTTTCCCTAGTCTCTCTCTCTCTTTTTATTGACAGCTTAATTTATAGGTTATATGCTATGCAACACCCGTATTCTTTCTTCAGATTGTGTTCAGAGCACACCAGCTCCCTTCACTTTGTCAGGAACATTTCCTCATCTTCTTTTTTCGGTGCACTGACTGCTATACATAATTATCTACAGCGCTGCAGTGATTTGAGTGCCTTTGGAACAGTGTACTTTAAATACATGTGATTTACTTTAATTACTCAGTGTCAAGTTTAAACACGTTCCTACAGTGTTAACACTAGTATTAGCTGTGCTAAACAGGTTAATCTGACTTTTGACTGTTAATGGGTACAGTTGTACAGATGCTGAAGATAGAGAGGGCACCAGGGATTCAACGTACCTCAAAGGTATTAATGGATATATGACATTTAGTTGTGGGCAACTTGACATACCTGCAGTTTGGGGGTTCCAGGCTTCAAGCCGCTCTTCAGGCTATGCAACTTCAGAGAGTAGCAGAAGATTAGGAAGGTCTGTGGTGGTGATTTCATGTCTGCTCCACTGAGTTCTCTGGGCACTAGACCAGCTTGTGCTTTAGGCAGTGGAGAGGGCAATGTGTCTTAGCAAACAAGTGGAGGTAGATTAGAAGCAGTCTCTGAGAACATCCTGCCAAGTGCAGCAAGAGCCCTGTGTCCCTGTCCCTGTCCCCGCCCCTAATGCCTCGCACAAGAGTATCCAGGGACCACAGGCTTCTGCAACCAGTGTGTATTACCAGGTTGGGCATGTAGACACACATGCACAGAGCCACTTCTGTTGCTATATAAGTGTTTAGTTGTTCATAAAAAGATGTCATTTTTGTACATGCTTATTCTTCCCAGCAAGAAAATCAGCATTTGGTTTTATCAGCTTTGTCCTCAAGGTGGCTCTTGGCTACACTGGGCTCTGTGCTGTGCACCTGAATTCCAAGCTGTGCAAACAGGGTTTGGCTCTGGCTGTAGCTGCTGTATGATGCATGGTAACTGAAAGCTGACACTGGATGCCATTTAAATAGAAACTAGCCATTAAGAGCTGTATTTTTCTGGGTGCTGCCCTCCTTTCTAGTATCTCTGTTAGGCTGCGATTTCTCATGCATTTTCCATATGTTATAACCTTCCGATCTTGCTTCATCCCTCTGGAAAAAAGGGGTCTTAAGGGATTTCTTAGGATCTATCTGGCTGGGGATAATCTTTAGCTACAGCAGTACTTTGCAATTAGGTGCATCAGAACTTAAAGGTATTACTGGATTAAGGATGAGTAGGATATATTAACTTAATTTTCAGTATTTAATATTGAATAGTGGGATTTTAGAAATGCTCATATTTAGAGCTTTTAGAAGTGAAGTGATCCTGAAAGCAGTCTGTAATATGTTACTGTATTTGCATCTTTAAGCAGCATAAGTGTCAAGGTTGTTTTCATTATGTTATTTTTGGGTTCCTTTTTCTATCTGTGTCTATCACAGAATGTCCTGGGTTGGAAGGGATGTTAAAGATCATCTAGTTCCAGCCCCCCTGCTATGGACAGGGACACCTCTCACTAAATCAGGTTGCTCAGAGCTCCATCCAGCCTGGCCTCGAACACTTCCAGGGATAGGGCATTCACAACCTCTCTGAGCAACCTATTCCAATGCCTCACCATCCTCACAGTAAAGAATTTCTTCCTAACATCTAATCTAAACCTACTCTCAGTTTGAATCCATTCTCCCTTGTCCTATCACTACATGCTCTTGTAAAAAGTCTCTCTCTGTCTTTCTTGTAGGCTCCCTTCAGATACAGGAAGGCCACAATTAGGTCACTCCAAAGCCACCTCTTCTCCAGGCTAAACAGTTCCAATTCTCTTAGTCTTTCCTCTTAGGAAGTATAATAGACCATATAACCATAATAGACTTTTCCACATTGCTGCTGTATTGATTGTTGAAGAACAAGGTTCCTCTTAAAACTTTTTGACCAAATATTTGCATAAGTTCATGCATCTGTGTTAATTGCTTTGTGAATGAACTGTGATTATAGTCTCCCTTTGACCTCCAACACAGCAAAAGTGAACAGAAAACTTGTAGGTAATTGATTAAATCTTTTAAATTTTACGAAGAATTGTGTATATGTTTTAAAAGGGACATTCTTGCTGCATAAAAATAATTTCTGCTGTTCCGGCAGCAGATGCTGAATCCACAATGACTTGTTCTTTTCTGTCTTCCAGTCTAGAATAATGTATACTATCTTTTTCACCTGAATTACAGAAAGGATATATAATGCAGTAGTTTCTGGGATGACTTCCAGCCATTTTCCTGCAACATCCTCTTAAAAATATGTAGTTTGTAAAGAATACATAATGCAAAGGAAGGGCTAATATTTTGATGGAAATGGACTTTGAAAATTTCTTTGTAGATTGAAGTGCATTTTATAGAAACTAAATACCCAGTACCAGCTTCTTAAAGAACAAAAGTTACATAATTGAGGAATCTCCTTCTTAGAAAGCAGTCTGTTTTTCCCCTTCTGCAGGATAAGCAGCATTTGTGTGAGCTAACCACTTCATGATTGAGAGGGTGAATATTTTGTTTCTTTTTCCTTAGCATCCCTTACTGTTCCTGAATCAGGTTGCCAGAAAAAGGATTGTAATCCTCTTTTCCTCTAGGCTGAAGTGGTGGCACAGAGTCCAAAAACATATAAGAACATATAAGAACCAGAGCTGTTAAACACATCAGATGAATATCCTAGTTAATTTTATTTTAGCTTAATTGCCTTTGGAGTGTGTGGTTTCTGAGGTGGGGACTCGTCTGTGTTGCTGTACATAGCACTGTGGGACTCCCATCCAGAACAGGGCCTTTGGGAGCTTTTACAAGTCATACTAGTCTTCATTATTCTCTCACACTGATTGTTGCCTCTTTAAACATTAACATCCTTTTATATCTTTCTTGTGTAGTGCATGAAGAGCCAATAATATTGTGAATGATTTATGTGTATTATTTTTTCTGGTTTGTTTTTTTTTTTTCCCACACAGTGATGCTTTTTTGCTATGTCTTCCCCATATTATCTGCTATTCAGAAATGCTTTCTCTATGTGAAAGGCCAGTCTTTGTACTTGAGCAGTTTCCAAAGCTGTTAGCAGGACCTGAAGTAATTTTTGTTGGATAATATATTTTTGACTGCTCCATGCCACTGTTTTGTGAGATTGGTTTTTGTTGGTCTCAAGGATTACTCCCTTGAAACAGATCAAAATGAAAAAAGTCTGGAAACTGCTGCATCTCCAGATAAAAGGAAGATTTCTTGTGTAAGAAATAATGTCTTATTTGTTAATAGAATCAATTTTCAAAGTTAAGACTCTGATCTTCCTTCTTTCTAGGGAAATGATATCTTTTACAAACAAAGTGTGTCAGGTCCTACTGAGCATTTCTCACTTGTGTTTTTAGGATGTGAAGGACAGCTTGACGAGTGGAAGTACAGCTGGGCTAAGGTTACCAGAGGTGTTACTGAGGATTCATGTTTTCATCTATTTGTCATGTCAACTTTTTAATTTAAGTAGGGTGCATAGTTCATTTATTGACATATATTTGCACAAACTTTTTTAAGTGAACTGCCATGTATGGATAATTTGCCTGCAAGGAGGGGAAAAATTTGGTGTTTCACTACAATAAGTTTACTGAACTTTAAAGAATGGAAAATGGATTCTAGGTACAACTCATGTGTTTTAAAATTAGCAGGAAGAGAAGAAATTATTTTAGTTTGAGTTTATTTTGACTTTTTTGTGGCACTTCTGCAGCTTGACTGTCTCAAATCCTGAACTGTTTCCTTCTGGGTTGTGGTTATTTCCTTTCAGGTACTCGTAGGATATTGAAGGCCTTCTCGATAGACAATAGCACTTCATTTTGGGAGGTGCCAACCTCCTCCTCCTTTCTTTTAATTGATCTAATTCTTACATGGTGTATGCTGAAATCAGATAATTTGCACAAGATTTAGCTTCCACCTTTAAGAAACAGTGTAATGAACACCTGTAAAAAAGGAGAAGTGTTTTCATGGTAAGGGAGGGCAGGTGCTGCTAGAATGGTTTGGGCTACCCATATATATGGGTCATTGTTCTTTCTGACAGCAGCACTGGGGTCTGCTGCCTTAGAGAAAAGAGCAAGAAATCCAGAGCAGT